TTGCTACCAGTTATACCTCGTTATCATTAGGAATACAACGCCGCGGTAATCCATGCTTTCAAAACATTGATTTGGTAATTGAACATTAGGCGCGGCTATTAGCATTTCGAATGCGAACAGTTCAGTTTCGTTATCGAAGCGACGAGGTGAATTTTCCGCGGGTGCGTTCGAATATTTATAAACAAAAGGACGAGAAGTTGGAAATATAGAAATACATAATAAACAGAAATAGAATTTTATTATTGAAAAAGCTGGATCGAAAACGATCCCAATTTCACGATTGACGAAAACAATGAAGAAAGCATTTATTGTCGAACGTGCAACAAAAGCGTAAATTGCGATCGAAAATCACAATTAGTCCGATGCGTGTATCACAATGCATACATATATATGCTGTACAAAATATGCTTTCGATTTAAATTAATTTTCATCGACTAAGTGTTATGAACTAATGTCACCAAATTTAGAAAAAATGATTATAATTACTGTAATTCGAGATACAATAATCGAAATAACTGTAAAACATTTCTTAACACTTAATATTCGAATTTATTATTTATTATTTATGCGAATTTATTTATTTCTCATGCGTATTCGCATATTTTCACGTATATTTTTTTTAATTTTCGTTCATACTTGGCATATTTCTCCCACTAAAATGTAACATGAATTTTGCTTATTCGTCACGCACAGACATCTGCAGTCTAATTATCAATATACCAAAATTATTACAAATAGTAACAACGTCAACAATATTATTAGATTATACTGTGTTTATGACGTCGAAGCTTTGCAGAAGGATCGTAAACGGAATGCGCATATACGCACAATCTCTGAAATGCTCGTAATTGAATTGATTACGAAAATGCAGATTTACATATATTCGTTGATTAAATTCTATCGTTTGTACTGCAAACTTTCGCAAAATTATCATGAAATTCGTGCAATCAATTAATCCGTAACTATTGTCAGACTATTTTCTACCTTGTGCGAAATAATGAATTAAATTGAATCACGTTAAATCTAACATAATTGTAATATATTCCCCGGCTGTATAATAAATTATTACGCGTGCATATAAAATGTCTCTCGCAATTACTGATGAAATTCCGAAAATGATACGTGGACTTTTATGCGAAATAAATATTATTTGCACCGGCTGTACGACGTAACAATGATACAAAAATGTACTTCTTCTTTAATAATAAATTAAAAATAGCGTAGCAAGGTCCTTAACTCAACATTTACGGAGCACGAAAAACAGCTGTTTCATGTTAGTTTATAAAAGTAAGAGATGATAAGACATTATTAGACACTATTAGATATTAATATAATAATAATAATTAAACATTATTATCAATAAGATAATATTATTATATAATATATTATATTATAATAACATTACTATTTATAAGATAATATTCCGATTTTTAACAAGTGTTATCGTAACATTTGCCGCAAGTAACATATAAATTGACTAAATAACTCCTAAATCCATCTTTACGATACGAAAAATCGTGAATTAAAAAATTAGTGAATTAATATTAAATTCCTCCGACGTCTTCCATGTTTTGTATAATATTTCTCTCGACAAATTTGACCGTAAACGCATAATATCCGCAGTCCGGTAACAGGCGAGCGAAGCAAAACAAATCAGGGCTATTAATTCGAAAAGCAAGCGTAAATGCGAAATTCTCGGAATCGCATGAAAAGTGAAGAAACTAGCGCGCGCAGCATCGCGAAACCGATACGAGCAACGAAGTCGGTTATGTTTTATTCAAAGAGGGAGCATTATGCTTAGAAAACAGCAAAGAAATATATTTAATTGGAAGCCGGCCGTGATTTAAGCAATTCACGGAGATCCGGCTGCAACGTAAACAAACTCGAGAGCTTTCCCGAGCTTACATCTTCCGTGGAAAAAAAACCCTGTTACCCCACCAGTTGGCAGCTGCTGGTTTCGTTAAAGTCGAACGACCGAGTTGCCCGGCTGTGTTAAAAACTTCCGCGAGCAGAGAGGCAGCCAATACGGGGAAAAATACGGGGCTTTAATTAATTTTCGTATCCCCCGTGCAATTAATAACGAGCTCCGAACTGGCGACCGTCGCTAATCGCCGTTAAATTTATCCGAGTTACATGGTAACCCGCGCTACGAGACACTTTCGTTCTACTAAAAGTCTCTAATAACGTTCCCGACCGAGCCATTCTTCGCTGAATAAACAACCAGCTTGCCTCGAGTATTGATTCGCCGCGCGTGCAAACAAAATTGCATTTGCTATCTTATTCCGACGAGAAAGAGTCTCGAATGTTGCTATTCTTCGCTCTCTATGCTCCCATCCGTTTGTTTCCGAAATTTTATGAAAATCTCTCGTGTTCGCGCGATTCAACGTCACACGTTCCTCGGGGCGAAAATTTATTCGTTTCCTTCTCGTAAGATTATTTATAATAGTGGCGAATCAATCGTCTTTTCTCATATCTTATTCTGAAATTTATTTCTCTGCAGATAAAACTTCGTTGATTTAATATAATAATATTATTTATTAATTATTATATATATATAATTATAATAATAATAATAATGTATTATTATACAGGGTGTCCCAAAAATGTCTCGCAATCCGAAAGTGGCGGATTCCTCGGGTCATTCGAAGCAACTTTTTCCTTCACAAAAATGTTCTCCGAGGCACCGTTAACGAGTTATTAACGAAAAACAGTGACCAATGAGGGGCAAGCTCGGCTGGCGCCGAGCTAATGAGCGGAACTGGGCTTCGTGCGCTGGTTAGCTGGTTAGCCTCGCGTCAGCCGTACTCAATCCTTATTGGTCACTGTTTTTTCGTTAATAACTCGTTAACGGTGCCTCGGAGAACATTTTTGTAAAGGAAGAAACTGCTTCAAATTCCGGATTGCGACGATTATTATATTAATTTAATATAATAATATTATTTAATATAATATATAATAATATTATTTAATATAATATATAATAATATTATTTAATATAATATATAATAATGATAATGAATGAAGTATTATCTCGAGAATTTACGCGCAATCATTTGTAACGTATTATAATTTCGTTCGTCGTAAAACGTAACGATCTCGAAAAGACAAATTATTACGTTGATGTAGGTCATCTCTGTGCACGGAGAGACATTCTTGAAACTTATCTAACACTTGCCATACGAGAGTTAACGGCGTCCAGGATGCAGCAACGTCTCGATTGCACCGATGCGCTGGAATCAAAGTGGAACTCCAATTATACTGAAACTGACAGAGATTACGCAAGTTCTAATAACTGAGGCTCCCCCGTAATGGAAGTTCATACAGTTCCAGCGATTCGGATTGTTCGCGGTTAAGTGCGGCGTGATGCGAACGTAAAATTAGTCTGCGATCACGTGGACGAAAAAAAACTGTCCCTCGGAAGTTCGTATCGTTACAATAAATTGCCGATTGGACACATTACGCAACTTACGAGGAGTTGTCATTGAGATACGTAAAACGATATTCAATTATTATTATCTTGTGCGAAATGAAATGATACTTGCGTTTATTAAAGCTCGCATATTGTTCGGAGATGAAAGTCTCAGATTTAGTAACTCTGTAATAAATGTTTTTAAAAATCTATTTCTTAAGTAACATATTACTTGCCTGTGTTCTTTCTGCTGCATAAAAAATCGTTTTTGAATATCGAGTACACGTGCATACAGAGTAACAGTTATGTTAACTCATAATTACGTTAACACTCGGAAAGGGGTGATTTTTGAGATTATTTGAAGTATAATAACTTTTTCCTTAGCGAAAATGCCATTCGCGGCTTCGTTAAAATATAAATAAATTTCATAATGTTAAAATTGTTTTGAAATTGTTCCTGAGATCGTTTGTAATAACTTTCTCCTTTACGAAAATTTTCTCCGAGCCATCGTTAACGAGTTATTAACGAAAAACAGTGACCAATGAGAGACGAGCTCGGCTGGCGCGCGGCGGCCGAGCCAACGAGCGCGCGAAGCCCAGTTCCGCTCATTGGCGGCCTCGCGGCTGGCGGTCTCGCGTCCAGCCAAGCTCGCCTCTCATTGGTCACTGTTTTTCGTTAATAACTCGTAAACGCAGCTTCGTAGAACATTTTCGCTGAGGACAAAGTTACTCCAAATCACCTCAGGAATCATTCCTTTCCAAGTGTTGACATAATTATGAGACACCCTGTAAACATACTTTAAGGGGATATGGTAAGTCATGATCAGACACCGGTCAGGTCACAATATCAGATTATGTATCCGTATATCTTACAAATTTTTAAACTTTTTCTCTTGAAAACGAAATACATTGAAAAAATATTAGGTCAGCGTGTAAACGCATATTTTATAATATTTAAAAGACGATTCGAATGAATATTACCGAGAAAAAGTATCGACCCTCGTGCTGCGGTTACCGGGTTATTTTGACCCAGCTTACTTAAATCGTGACTTAATTATTCAATTTTCAGCGATCGAATTAAATAAGATATTTTTACATATTTATTTATGAATAACAAAAATCCTTTACTTTGCAAGGATGATTACCAATTAATCACGGATAGTAAGGACTTCATTAAGGACACTAGAGAAAGACTAATAGTTCTCCATGGAGCATCTCCAAAATCATATTTTAGAAAGTTGATGCACAAAGCTGAGAACCAACAATTTGTCAACAATTTTGTTAATCGCAAAAATGCTATTTTTATTGCAAAAGCAATAACATATAATCGTTTGAACAGCTTCGCCTACAACACGAAATTGATCGAAAAGAATTCATTTCTCCACCTAACTAAGCTACAATTTTTCCATCATTATCCTTTTTCTTTATCATTACACGTAGCGTTTTCTCCATAAAAAAAAGAAAAACAAGCCCATACCGAGCAAAGCGAACGCAACATCGGTCAGCCGGTAGTCGATGGTAGTCGCTGGAACAGAAACCGCCGAGACGAACGAAATTTTCTTATAAAACAAACGACCCCGTCTTTGTTACAGGCGAACGACCGGAGGCGATGCAGACCGGAACGGCGGGGCCCATTTTATCCTCGAGCTGTCTTGTGGTGTCTCTGATCATTTTGTACATATCGTCGATGTAAAAGGAACGTCGAACGGCACGAGCGAGCGTCGCCGCGGCGTCGCCAACGTCCGGATTCGATTCTGTCGGAGCACGTTCCCGTTCAATTCAGCCCACTGCCCACCTGGACCCCCACCTGTGTCAGGACCGGAACGGGTAAAACCTATAAAAAAAAAACAGAAAAGAAAAACACACGCTGAAACTCAGCTCCTCGCGCCTCGCCTCGCCCTCGACGCCGATGCACGCAAGAAGGAGACGCCGCGCCGGGTGTCGGCTGAGCGAGGCAAAACACGAAACGAGCAAAAGTCGCGCGGTAATTGCGATCGTCGGTGAATGAGTCGGGAGAGAGATGATCGTCGTCCAATGGAAGCGGAGCGGGGCACGTTTCCGGCCGACCCGTCGCGAATACGAAACCCCGGGAGGTCCCAGAGCGACGCGGAGACTGGAAGCGTGAAGAAGCTCCGGGATCGAGAGGATCGGGAATCGTATCTCGATTGATCGGTGTTTAGTTAAGATGACACGTCGACGCTAATACCGCGAACGGCGGCGGCGGCGGCGCGCGGAACGGGCCCGACTCGGCCCGACCCGGCCCGTCGGAGCTCCACAATCCGCTCCGCGTGAAACCGTTCCGCGGAAGGCGTAAAATCGCGGAACGACCGCCTCGCGGCTCGCTTTTACGACCGGTCGAATCTCGAGCGACGCGGGGCGGGTTCGCGCGAGACACCCGTTCCTCGCCGAATGAAACGTGGCCCGACTGCGCGACCCGTCGGTTCCGGGACCCAAAGGTTGCCGGCTCGCGGCTGTTCGGCTGCCGTGAAAGTTTCCGCGGAAGAATCGGCGAGCCGTCGATCAATTGCTCGCGATTCGCGCCTCGCCGTCGTCTCGGAAGCCGCGTCGCTCGACGTCGCGTCCGCCTCCGACGCGGACTCCCGTGTTCACGATCGCCGACGCGAACGACGGCCAAGCCGATCGAACGGTAAAAATCGAGCGGATCGCGGCGGCGTTAACGTCCGGGCTCGGAATGACCGTCGACGCGTCCGCGCGTCATTATCGGTTCGCGTACAAAAGCCGCGCGCGGCTCCATTTCCGGCCGATTAATGCCCGGGATCGCGGGCATCCCGCGATTCGAAACAATTACCGTGGCAAATTATTATTGCCGGTCGCTTGAACTAATCTACGTTCTTTTTTCGAGCACGCGGCATTCGGTCGCGGGAACGGTCGAGGTGCCCTAATTCCGCGCGGGTCGGGCTGCTGCTGCTGCTCGCTGGCCCGGCTTATCGATTCACGTTATCGGCCGGAGCCGGATAAATTTGGCTAATTATTTGTAACGAATTTAAATTATTCCCGGCTCTCCCGGTCGAAACGCCGGCCTTCGCCGACCTGAATCCGCTTCGGGGCCGCAACGCCGCGCCGTTCCGCTCCGTTCGCCTGTTAAACCGAAGAAGCGAGGCCGCTTCTGCTCGCCTCGCGCGTTCTCCTACGCTTCTCCGAAACCGGTTCGGAGACTCGTTTTCCATTCTCTGTCGCGTTTTCATCGTTCCCTCCTCCGGTATACACGCGGTGCGCCGAATCATTTAGATTTACGACCGGTCGAGAAGTGTTCGCGATCATCTTTGTACCGTTTCAAACGCGTCGACCGCCGCGCGATTCGCACAGCGGCGACGTCATCGCTCGTCGAGAACCGGCCCGTCTGTCTCCGGAGTCGGATATTAAATCAAATGAATCGGACAGAGGTTAAATTACGCGGGGGCTCTTCGCGAGACTTCGCTGAGAAAACGGGGATCGTTCGGCGCACGAGAATTTTCATCGGCGACGGATGACCGGCGAGAATCTTCCGCTGCGTCTACGCGCTCTCGTTCGAGATGGACACACGAAACAGTTTACAGGTCGATAAGGAACTAGGATACAGTAAAACTCTCTATTCTTCCGAGCCCGGTGGGGAATTCGTTGATCCGGACAGCGGGATAATCAGTGCGACAATCGCATCACGGCGAGGATCGGCAACAACAACGATTCTGGCCGATCGTAGCTAGACGTCACTCGGCCTAAACAACAACAGAGAGTCACCGTTTCCTTTTAACTTGCTGCTGACGAGTTCCGGTTGATTGGATATCACTGAAAAATTTGTTCACAGACAAGCTTTATTATTCCATACTCAGTCTGGACGGGGGAAACGCGCATGACGCGTCGTCTTCGCGGCGATTCATTTGCAAACCGCTCCGTTCGAAGAAGACGAAACGAGAGTTTGTCGCGATCAGCGTGAACTGATCATATTATTATTACTATTATTACTGAAACAGCAAAAGATTCGTTGGTGAAATAGAGTGTATCGGTTACGCGGTTTTGTAATAATTTCGCAATCGTGACTCAAACATTGCTTTCGTTCGGATATAAATCTGTAACAGCTGTTGTTTTGCTCGTCGTCGAACGAAACGTTTAGCTGAACGTGAAACGATTTTAGGAAACAGTGACCGCGTTTTAGTTTGAGAACATACACACTTTTCGCATTCTTGTAGAACCGGTCAAATTTCTTGTAACGTTTGTATGGACAATTGGACAATTTTGGATAATTTGGCAATTGGACAATTTTGGATAATTTGATAATTGGACAATTTTGGAGAATTTGACAATTGGACAATGTTGAACAATTTAACAATTGAACAATTTTGGTAATTTTACAATTGGACGATTGGACAATTTGACAATTGGACGATTGGACAATTTGACAATTGGACAATTCTGGATAATTTGACAATTGGACAATTCTGGATAATTTGACAATTGGACAATTCTGGATAATTTGACAATTGGACAANGCGAGGATCGGCAACAACAACGATTCTGGCCGATCGTAGCTAGACGTCACTCGGCCTAAACAACAACAGAGAGTCACCGTTTCCTTTTAACTTGCTGCTGACGAGTTCCGGTTGATTGGATATCACTGAAAAATTTGTTCACAGACAAGCTTTATTATTCCATACTCAGTCTGGACGGGGGAAACGCGCATGACGCGTCGTCTTCGCGGCGATTCATTTGCAAACCGCTCCGTTCGAAGAAGACGAAACGAGAGTTTGTCGCGATCAGCGTGAACTGATCATATTATTATTACTATTATTACTGAAACAGCAAAAGATTCGTTGGTGAAATAGAGTGTATCGGTTACGCGGTTTTGTAATAATTTCGCAATCGTGACTCAAACATTGCTTTCGTTCGGATATAAATCTGTAACAGCTGTTGTTTTGCTCGTCGTCGAACGAAACGTTTAGCTGAACGTGAAACGATTTTAGGAAACAGTGACCGCGTTTTAGTTTGAGAACATACACACTTTTCGCATTCTTGTAGAACCGGTCAAATTTCTTGTAACGTTTGTATGGACAATTGGACAATTTTGGATAATTTGGCAATTGGACAATTTTGGATAATTTGATAATTGGACAATTTTGGAGAATTTGACAATTGGACAATGTTGAACAATTTAACAATTGAACAATTTTGGTAATTTTACAATTGGACGATTGGACAATTTGACAATTGGACGATTGGACAATTTGACAATTGGACAATTCTGGATAATTTGACAATTGGACAATTCTGGATAATTTGACAATTGGACAATTCTGGATAATTTGACAATTTGACAATTCTGGATAATTTGACAATTGGACAATTTTGAACAATTTTGGACGATTTGACAATTGGACAATTTTGGACAATTTGACAATTGGACAATTGGACAATTTTGGTCAATTTGACACTTGAACAGTCATATGGACAATTTTGGAGGAGGAAATGCGATTATTCGAGCTTGCAACACGTTTTTATATTTGTTGACAATCGGTAACTATAAAAGCAACCATTGGTTTCGTTCGGATATAAATCTGTAACAGCAGTTATATTTTGCTCGAACGAAACGTTTAGCAGAATGTGAAACGATTTTCGGAAACAGTGTCTACAATTTAAATCGAAAACACGCACACACATTTCGAATTCTTGTAGAACGATCAAATTTCTTGTAACGTTTAAATTTAACGTAATTCCATTTAATTTCAACGTAAAGTTCAGGCAAACGCCGTGCTTCATTTCGCGAACTCGCGTCGAACGAACCGACGGAATTTTGAACTCGAAGTTCCGTTAATCGATCAGCGAAATCCCGCGAAAATTTCGTAAAAAAAACCAAGATACCGCGTTCAGTAACTCGTTGAGGATGCTCCTGTTTGCTTCTGGTAGCAGGATCGCCGAAGACGACGCGTCGTGTGCGCCGATAAATTAGGAAGAGCATGAAACGAAGGGCTTTCGAACTTTCGCCGAGTCGGAGCCAGCCGAACAGAAAGTTCCGGAGGGAAAATAATTTCCAGTTGACGGCAGATAATTTCCCAATCGTGGGAACAGTCCTCCGGCCGATTTAACCGAGAACATCGAAGCGCCTCGGATCGATCGATCGATCGATCTGTCCGAGTACACGTGCATCGCGCTGCATGATTTCGTGCGAACGGACTCTCGGAAAAGATCGTCGGCGGGAGAACGACTAAGGATAAAGCGAAGATGGACGAACGGCGCGAACAACAATATTCGAAATATTCGAGCGAAAGAGCCGGAACGTGGATCGTGGACGCGGCTGCGGCGTCGTCGCCCGGCGAAATCGGCTCTCGAGCGGGTATTAGCGTCGACGAGCGAACACGGAAAACCTGTACATAGCGTCTGTATCATATAAATTGTGGCCGGGTGATGGTAGTTACGTGGCCGACGACGCGACGCTGAGCGACGCTGAGCGACGCCGAGCGACGCAAAACGGCCGAGAGAGCGCGGGGTGCACGGCGCGCACGTTGCTTGCAACGCGTCACGATGCTTGCACCGTTCCGCTCTGCTCGGCGACGCTCCGCGCGCGGAACAACCCTCTCTCACCTGAAAACCGGTGCGCGGCACGGATCTAGTAATCGCGTTTACCGCGTGAAAATCGAGTTTCCCAGCCGGCGAAGTGGTTCCGAGCGAGCCGGCTCCGCGAAACTGCAGGACCGAGCCCGAGCTTCTTCGGCCTGCCCGGCTCGCTACGGAGGATCGAACCGAGAGGATCGTGGCTTCTGGGCTCGCCGGGGACAATCCTCTTGCGAGAAGGCACCCTAAAAAATTCACCGCTGCTTTCAGGCCGGCGCGGATCTAGGATTTCCGGCGACCCCCTT